GTTGTGCCATCCCCACTGCAGCTGGAGCAGGGTCCGGTGTCAGCTGCTGGCAGGCTGTGCCGTGTCTGCACTGGTAGGGAGCAGGTATGTAACTGAGGATGAGGAAGGCTCCTCTGCTGCCAGCTGGCACTGAGCTCAGTTCTCTCCCTCCAGGTGGACAGCTGTTCTTACTGTATTGTTTCCTACTCTTTTTTATTTTCTCCTTTTATTTTTTCTTTTATTTTTTTCCTCTTCTCTCCTTTGCTCCCTGCTCTGCTGCTGCTCTCCTTGCATTCTCCCCGCCGTCTCTGGCCACTCTGGCAGCCGACAGACGAGAGGAGTTGGGTTTACTCCCCGCTCCACTATAGCGCCCAGCTCCACTCTGTCTCCGATGAGGAGAGTGATACAGTAAGTGAACAAGAACCGTGTGCCGGGTGCCCGGTGGGTCGAGGTTGGAGCTTGCTCTTCCCTCTGCAGGGTCAGCTTGCCGAGGGGGCCGCTGTGGCCTCTGCGCAGCACGGGGGCTCCTGCATGGCTGCGGCAGAGCCCTGCTGAAGCTGGGATCAGCTCTGCAGCAGCAGCAGGCGAGATCTCCTGCGCTGGCAGAGACCCGGGCTGCTCAGCAAGGGCTGTGGCTTGTTCTGAACCCTTTGGTGCAGTGAAAGCTTCGGGGAGCTGAGGTTCTCCGGTCGTGTTGTCGTTACTGGAGGGTGCGAAACAAAGAGCTGCCTCCTCTCTTCACGCTTGTTTTGGTTGTGGGGAGTTGGCTGGGCTCAGACCTGATCCCAGTGGGTGCTTGGGGGTTGACTCTCTTTTCTCTGCCTCTTGCAGTAATCTCTATGCAGACACAGAAGCCCCAGAGAGCAGCAATTCCCTCTGCAGGTCGATGTGTTCCCTTTTCGTTGATGCAGCCGTTCCAGTGGGATGGGGAAGAGCTTGCTGACACCAGTATTGCTGCACTGCAGGATCCCGGGCACTGCATTTCAGAATGGAGCAAAACTATAACCGTTTCTTTCTACTTATCCCAGACGTGGGCAGCAGAGAAACCACCCGCTCACCCCCAGCTCCCGAGGGAGACCTCCAGTTGGGTGTAGAGAATCCTGGGTAGTAACACAGTGTTTTCCAGACGTGCACTACCGTAGCTACCTATCCATGTGTGATACTGTGAACCTTTTTAATTTTTTAATCATGTATTTATTTCTTTTATCTTTGCACAGAGACAGCACAAAATGTGCTTTTTTAAACATTTAGTTTACTGCACTTTTTCTTTTTCTTTTTGGTTTGTTTTTTTTTTTTGGTCATATATTTGTGCATCAGAAAGGAGTGTGAGACCTCACTGGAGAATTGGTAGGAGCACGTTGCTGGGGAGGGCAGGGACCGGAGTGGCTTCATTTGAGGCAGCAGCATGGTCTGACCAACTGATGGAGTCAGGAGGTTTAAGGCTGTCCAGACTCTGCCACGGTTTTGCCGAGTGACCCAAGGCAAGTCACTCAACCACTCTGTGCCTCGGTTTCCCCCGTGCTAATGGGTGTAAAGTACCCACTTCTGTTAAAGCACTTAAACCCTGGGATGAAAGGTGCTATGTAAATGCAATGTATTAAAGGCCATTGAATAGAATTGCTCCCATGTTACCGTAGTCCAAAGCAGCCATGCCAATTTACTTGGATTCAGAAATCAGTGACTTTTCTTGATCTGTAACACTGTGTGGGGGAAGCAAGTGATTCCTGGCGACAGCGACGTGGCCACCTGGGCTCTCCTGTGGACGCTGCAATGGGTTCTGCCTTCACCACGTGCTGTGTCACCCCCCTCCCTCTCTGCTTGGAGTCCACGCTTCGTCTTACCGGCTGTCGCACCGTCACCCGCTCCAGACACCCAGGCACGGACAGACGAGGACCGGGCACCTCCAGGGACCCGCCGCGCTGGAGCACGAGTTCCCCGCTCTGCCCGGCCCCGGGGGTGGCTCCTCTGGACGCTGCATCCTGCTGGAGCCACTCAGCACCTCGCATGCTCATGGGTGTATCGACTGCCCCGTACTCGGGGGGCACGAACGCTGGGTTCACACGTATCCTCTGTACCTCAGGGCAGCCAGGGAGGCGCCTGCACATCTGCACACGCTGGAGGCAGAAAAACAAGCCTGGCTCTGCCACCGAACCCTGCCAGGCCGTGGTGTGGTGATGGACTCTTGGACTAAAAGCTGGGTGCCTGGGATGTTGCCTGTGGTAACATCTGCTATTGGAAATGGCTGCTTCTGAGGTCTGAGATGGTTTGCTTTTCGAGGGCTGCAGGCTTTAGGTGAGAGGATTTGGTGTCACTGGGTAGTGTTCAGACTGGGCTCATCCATCTGTCAGCAGGACACACACCATAGCATTGTCTTCAACCCAAGCAATCCCATCCTCTTCTCCCAGAGAGAAGAAAGGAAATCCTTTAGACCAGAGGGAGCCAGGTGTTATTCACGTTGCTTTACAAGCCACACTTGAGAAAGAGGGTCAAAATCTCTTTATTCTCATTACAACCTTCACACTGTCCTTGGGATTCCTTGCAGTGGAGTGGGGAAGTGGGACCTTTCTCTCGGGGTCAGTCCCCGCAGTCTGTCTTCACAGCAGCACTCAGGATGGGTTAACTCAGGCCCCCGTAGGTCACTGGGCTGGCAGGAAGCTCTTCCCCTCTGGAATGTGCTGAACTTGGTGAGCATCTTCACGAAGTGACACTTTCTTGCCTGGAAGTACGGGACCCAGACTTCCCCTCCCCTTGCCTGCAGATGCTCAGAGCTGGAAGGTGTTCTTCTTTTGAGAGCACAGGCTGGGGAGCTTGCAAGCTGCTGCCATTAGATGTATTCACGTATTTACCAAATAATCTATCAAAAGTCTTAAACTCTCCCCTTTCAGTCACTACTTGACAGCTCGTTCTCTGTGCCAGGCCCTGCAGCGGGCTGAGAATGGGCTCCTGACCCACTCCATCTGCTGGTGCCAGTCCCGCCAGGGCTGAGGGGGCTCGGTGCGGTGGCGAGGGGAGCCGGGAGCAGTGCAATACCCACAGACCAACAACCTGCCTCTGGGCTGGAAGCAAGAGGCTTCAAAATGCTAAAAATTCAGCCTTTGGGTCTTTTCCTCCACAAGCGTGGAGAGGCCAGAAGAAGCTGCGTCCCTTCTGCTGCCTCTGATGCCCCTCTTGGGTGTGGGGCTGGAGGAATGTGGTGGCTCCAGGGAGGAACTGGAGGGGTGGGCTCGGGCTGCCCTGGTACCACCTTGTTCATGGGCTGGTGGGTTGAGCCTCTTCAGAACTTTCCTGCCAACTGCAATCAAGCATCTTCTTTTAGATTGTTTTAATCATCATTGATGAAGACTTTATTCCTTCCCCTCATTTTGGGGGTCTCTAAAGCTGCTTAGACTCCGCACAGGGAGCATCTGGGCCCCACCTTCATGGGGTGTCTCGGAGAATGAGCTTTGCAAGCGAGAGCTGTGCTTGGGCCCAAGAGCTGTGGGGGAAGCCAGACCTCTTGCAGCATGTTCCTTTTAAGTCTTGCCTCGAGCATTCAGGCTTTTTGAGACAATCCATGTGCAGTTCTGTAACGCTGAACCTTTTGGAGTGAGCACGTCTGGACACGGAGGGTGTGAGGGGACGTGCAAAGGGCTTAGAGCAACTTCGGTAATGTTAGTGGAGAGAAAGAACCTTACTTCAGGGAGATGCTGATCTGAAATGGAACCTGCCCCTTCCCTGGCTCGTGCACTCCTTGCTGTGTGTCCAGTTCCCTCGGTGCTGGAGAACTGCCCGGTCTCCCCCCACCTTGGGGGATAAAAGGACCTTGGAGTTTAAGGCTCACTCTTTGCCCACCTCTGCCCTGTGCTGCAGTGTGAGCGTGTCGGGGAGCTCTGGAGTGTTTCCCAAGCGCTGTCAGTGCTGCCTTTGCAGCGTCAGAGGAGGGCAGGACGAGGTCTTGCCCACAGGGAAGAGCACTGGCTGTTTTCTGGGGAGGAAAACCACCACCCGTCCTTGGTCTCAATGTCCCTCCAGCTCATCCAGGTCTTCAGTCGCCTGTACTTTCTCCATCGGGGCTTTCTGTAGTGGCCCAGGGGCTGTCCCCGCTGTCACCCCTGCTCTCTCCATCGCTGAAAGGAGCGTTTCTTTAACTCCTCTGGGATCTGAGCCCTGCACCGCAGACGGTTCCCACCTCGCTGTTTGCCAAGGCTCTCCTCCATCCCCATCATCCCCACTGGGATGCCTGGAACATTCCCTGCCGCCGAGGCTGCCGGGGAGCTTTCGGCTCGGGCTCTTGCCAAGCCGGAGGTGGCTTCTGCCCGCCGGGTACAGACCAGCACGAGGAAAGGGCATCTCCGTGCTCGCCATCGAGCTCTTCGCAGGCAGGTGTAGAGCAGAGGAAACGGCGCAGAGCCCCAAATACTGACAGGAAGGATCCAGTTCTTGGCTGCCGTCGTCTCTGCAGCGAGTGGCTCGGCGATCCGTGCCGAAAATCCCACTTGGGGAAGTTTTTTTAAGCCCTCGCAGGTCTCGCCCTCAGCTCCCATCGCCCGGCCTTCCCTCTGCGCTCACCCCCAGCCAGGAAGGAGAAGGGGAAAGCCCCAGGGCATGGGGCCCACCTGCATCGTGTCTGATCCCCCTTCCTCCCGTGTCTCCCGTCAGAACCCAGCTCCGTTCTTGTCGGACCTTTCCTATTCCCACTCGTTTTCCGTGTCCGCTCCGTGCGCGCACCGTGTAACGAATGTATGTAAGTAATGGGGGGCGGGGGGGGGAGCGCGGGGATGCGATACCGTGGGTGTTGTCACGGCTTTTTTTTGGGGGGGAGTGGGGTGTTAAGTCAC